GGTTTGGGGTTTTTAGGATTTAGGGGTTTGGTTTTTTTTGGATTTAGGGTTTGGGGTATTAGGATTTAAGGTTTGGGTTTTTTTTTTTAAGATTTAGGTTTTGGGGTTTTTAGGATTTTAGGGTTTGGGGTTTTTAGGACTTAGGGTTTGGGTTTTTTAGGATTTAGGGTTTGGGGTTTTTAGGATTTAGGGGTTTGGGTTTTTTTGGATTTAGGGTTTGGGGTGTTTAGGATTTAGGGTTTGGGGATTTTAGGATTTAGGGCTTTCGGGTTTTTAGGATTTAGGGTTTGGGGTTTTTAGGATTTAGGGTTTGGGGTTTTTAGGATTTAGGGTTTGGGAATTTTAGGATTTAGGGTTTTGTGGTTTTTAGGATTTAGGGTTTGGGCTTTTTAAGATTTAGGGTTTGGGGGTTTTAAGATTTAGGGTTTGGGGTTTTTGGGATTTTAGGGTTTGGGGTTTTGGGGATTTAGGGTTTGGGGTTTTTTAGGATTTTAGGGTTTGGGGTTTTTAAGATTTAGGGTTTGGGGTTTTTAGGATTCAGGGCTTTGGGAATTTTAGGATTTAGGGTTTGGTGTTTTTAGGATTTAGGGTTTGGGGTTTTTAGGATTTAGGGTTTGGGGCTTTTTAGGATTTAGGGGCTTGGGGGTGTTAGGATTGAGGGTTGGGTTTTCAAGGATTTAGGGTTTGGGGTTTTTTGGATTTAGGGTTTTGTGGTTTTTAGGATTTAGGGTTTGGGGTTTTTAGGATTTTAGGGTTTGGGGTTTTTAAGATTTAGGGTTTGGGGTTTTTAGGATTTTAGGGTTTGGGTTTTTTGGGATTTAGGGTTTGGGGTTTTTAGGATTTAGGGTTTGGGGTTTTCAAGGATTTAGGGTTTGGGGTTCTTAGGATTTTAGGGTTTGGGGTTTTTAGGACTTAGGGTTTGGGGTTTTTAGGATTTAGGGTTCGTGGTTTTAGGATTAAGGGTTTGGGTTCAGCGCTTGGCGGGATTCTCCCTGTAAACCCTGAAGTCCCTTTATGAATGGTGCCCCGACAGTGGAAATTCAAATGACAAAATGGAAATGATGTGAAAAAAAGGACTATATTGGGAATTGTAAGGGGTTCATGTTTACCCCCTACGGAAAGTGGAAATCAGTTCCTAATAGGGCAAATATCAGGAACTATACTAAACTACGAACGGGGCCGTGTGTCCACCCCTAATGGTCTTCTTGGCAACCCTATTATTGACAGTAACTCATATAAGGATTATAAAGGGATTTGAGGCGGCTCTTATTGAGGATTATAAGTGGATATGTTGCAAAACTCCACAGCTTTCTGGGCCCCCCCAAACCCCAAACCCTCAACCCAAAGGCCCCTAAACCCTAAACCCTAAACCGAAACCCTCAACCCCAAGGCAAAACAATGTAAGGCTAACCAGGCTTGAGGCTGGGTTGTTTCAGCTTGGGTTGGTCGCTCCAGGCCACCAAAACAAGCTTGTTTCAATCGATTTCTTATAGAGCAGGCACCAAACCCTATAAGACTACAATGAGGCCCAATGTAGGTGCAGTGTATAGACTTTAGGGCCTAAGGTAGGCATCCTTTGAGCTATAGTCTGAACTTCTAGTATCACCCTTAACAACCCCCCTAGTAGGTCCCTATATAACCCCCTTTGAGGAAATGAGACACGTGGCTCATTTAAACATTTAGTCCCAGGGAAATCCAGGAAGCGAGCCCCGGGTTGCGCTCAACTCGAGCGTGTTTTGATGTGGCTGGGTCATGGGCCATGTGAGCCATTGTCTAAACTCCTAGTATCCCCCTTAATAACCCTTATAGGAGTCCCCTATATAATTCCCTATATAACCCCTTATTAAGGAGTTTAGACTATAGCTCAAAGGCACCTAACCAAGATGCTGTCAACTTCTCAGCACATTAAGCCAGGACTCATGCTACGTAATCTGAGGACGGCTGACAACATGAAGGTCACCAGTCTTGGTTTGCAGAGTACGTCCTCTACAGTAGAACAGCCTGGCACCATAGTGCACAGCAAAACTCAGGCACCAAATCGTCAGTGCAGGTATTAGTCATACAAACATCGCGTGTAAGACTTGCCTAGGACACTACCCAATGAGACAAGTAGTTAGTCAATACAAATCCCCACAGTGGAGGGGTATCATCCATAAGTTGCCTACTCGAGCATTCCCGAGACCGAAGCCCGGTAAGCCCTTTAGGCTCCTAAACCCTAACACCCCAAACCCTGAGTGCCAAAAAACGTAAAACCTAAATGTCATACACTCCCCCTTAAGTAGATACTAGTAGAACGTGTAATCGCCCAAGATCAGGACAAGATGACGGGACCATAAGCCTAAAGGCCAGTCAAGGCAAAAGGCAAAGCAGATGCGCTGCCAGGCGCCAGTCACCCGCAAGGGCGGAGAGTGTGCCGCCAAGCGTCACTGACCTGGATTATGGAGTTGTATAGGGTGTAGGGTTTACAGGCTTTATACGGATGAAGGTCAGGATTGGGGCATTGTTCAGGTAATGGTTTACCAAATGGGGTACCCTTGCCGAAGGCTTACATAATGCTCATATGGGAAGAAAGGAAGAGGCCTATGTGAGGCGTAAGTATCTGTGGTGCAAACACCTGCCCCTAAAATTTTGTGGGCACTCCCCATGCCCTACACAAAATGCCATCCTATAACAAAAAAAGTGGTAATATATATTGGGAATATTGAGTATTGGGAACTGGCGATAAGGGAGGGGGGATTAGCTGGAGATGCTTTAGAGATGATGGCGTATAGCTTACGCATGATCCCTTGCTTGCTCGTGGGCACGGTTGGGTTAACATGCAGGTAGCTTCAAACCTAGCGTTCCCTTGCTGTACCCCAAACAGACCCATCCATACTGTAAGCGGGGCATAATTTGGGTTTGTCCCGCTACGCCGTAGTCAAAACAACATGTTTGGATTGGGGTATGTTCCGGTGGCATGTTTTGGGGTATGTTTCGAGGTATGTTTCGTAGTAACGGGCTCTTGACGAAAAGGACGTTGTGGGGGATGTATCGGTGTGTGTATCGAGGTATGTTTCAGGGTATGTATCGGAGTGGTCAAGCATGTTCCTTTTCCTGACTTCCTGGCCCAATTAATGGAAAGACCCATTTTGAGAGCGGCCATACCTGGAGGTTCAGAAGTGGAGTTGAGAGAAGATGGCAATGTTATAGTCCAGTCTAGGCGGCTTCTAAGCCCCTATACAGCCAGCCAGGTACCTTCAGCCGCTCGGCTCAGCCCTAAAACCCCTAGACCCCTAAACCCTTAACCCTTTCAGCACTTTCCAGCGTTACTTCCCAAACCCGAAACTGGGTTGCTGTTAAGGAACTTAAATTCAGTTACCATACTGGGTATATATAG